CCCCTCCCCCTCTGCCGCTCGTGCCGGCATCGCTACCTCATCACCGCTATTACTGCCATTACTATTATTACAACTACTGCTCGCTTGTCCTTCAATAACCGTCGCCCTCGTTTGTCCACCGTGGCACTTAGTGACGCTAATCCATCAAGTGTCCTTTACATCTCATTCACTATTATTAGGCACAGTGGCTGAATAGAATGTTGACAGTAAATATTATTGGTCTTTGGGAAGGTATACATAAGAAACGTGTTACAGAATTTTCATAAATATAATAAGATTAAACTACACGATTAGATGCGAATTTTATTATCAAAAATGAAAGATTTTTGTGGAAAATTTGTGAATTGTTTAAAAAAACGAACATCTCGCGAAATATTTTGAGTTCAACATTTTAGATACAATATTTGCCGTGAAGATAACATTGATGTACTAATTAGGCACGCCAAATCATAAAACATTAACATGGGATGATCAAAGTTGGGAGGTCGAAGACAATTACTAATTTTCAATGAATATACGAACGGACAACTCTTACATCAAAACTACATACGTGGTTTTTGCAGAGCCCAAAAATAAAATAAGGTATAATATTTCATGTTTCGGGTGTTAAATATTTTTGCCCCCTGGGTGTCTTCCAAATCCAAGAACTTTTGGCACAAGGTCGGTTAAGGGGCATAAACGTAACTCGTGTAGTGCATACACAACATGCTGATTTACTAGTAGGTTGCTGAAGAAAACGAGAATTCGAATAGTTTTAAATTTTCTTTTGATCAAAAGAGGAAAGACGCATTCTAATCGACAACTGTCAATATGGCTTCAGGAAATCAAAACAGCGCGTGTCAATTACTATAGCATAAACGTCGTTGGACAGTGGAGGAGCTGACAAATTTAAGCAATGGACTTGTTAAGGGGGATGCTCTATTATGACTGCCAACACAACCACTTACCAACAATAGCTTCTCGACGGATCAGTATGTTTCTGGTAGCGAACATACAGACTGGCGATTTTTGAAATAAAGTACATAATATTCCGGGGATGTTGCTATCATTCGAATAGTTCAGAAGACATTACTGAAAATAAGAGACAGAATTGGACTGAATAATTGTTACACAGAATTAGTTGATTAAATGCACTATTTTTGGATTGTTTAAATGACTTGTGAAAACACCGTAGGTGTCTTTAGAAATGAAGTTTATGGAAACACCGTAGGTGTATTTTTTAGAATTGAGAATATTTTCGAACGATGCCAATTTATTCGGTTACCAAACGAAAATCACGAAACAATGCATTAAAAACAATAGTTATTGATGAAGCTGGAAAAGAACAAAACAATGCTGAACATGATGCGTACGCTTTAGAGGATTATCATCGCGCACACTCTCTCTCATTTTCACTCGTAGACGGGAGTCACGCCTCGTAACCCCTGACGTCACATCCTCGCCAGAAGGTGTGAGATGCTGAAGTTGACAGCGCAGCGAAGTATGTCGCTGCGTAGTATTGCCACAGTTAACGTATTAAAAGCCCTATGACGACGTGTTGGTCAGCGACACTAGCGATCCGCACGGCGATCATGGAATACGTCGCCGCCTTACAATTCGTAATACAGCATCGTTACGATTCGCAGTACAGCCTCTAACCAAAAAGTGATTGTTTTTGTATTATATCACATTTTCTTACTCATGTAACTAAAATAACATGTAGAGTAGACGTTTTGAACAATTTTTGAGTAAATAAATTATTTAAATTTAGTGAATCTTGTCCATTGATAATTTATAGGGAAATCATGAGGAAGAACAAGTATTTCTACACTGTTTATGAAAATATCTGGAAATATAAGTAATCTAAGTAGAAAATAAGGGAATCTAGGAAGTAATAACATTTATATTAGGAGGAAATAACAATTTCCCGTCTTTGCTTTCTAGGTCTATTAGACAAGTAAAAAACAAAATATCTCAGGATTCTTTCCTTCATTGTTACTGAATTCAATTGCAGAACAGTGCTCCCCTTTCGACACACGCTGTAATTAGTGTGTTAACTGGAAAAGTGTACATATCAAATATGTGTCGATTCATGTCAGATAGTGCATATCAAATACATTCCAATACATGTCAAATGTAGGATTAACACGTTGGTTTCGTGTAATTGTAAGTGTTATTTAATGCCTTTCTAGTAAAATCTTGCGAATACAACACGACCAAGACAATTAATAATTCGAATTATCGTTTAAATTTTTAACCAGCTGTTAATAAACGCAACTTTATAAAGAAATCCATATACATCATTAGCATCTATCCGTAATTTTAATTGAACTCCGCCAGGATCATTAGCTATATGCGCGCGCATCTCTAACTGGCCAGAAAACGAGCTGAGCTGCGCTACTGTATAAATACGTATTATGTGGAATTGCATAACCGCTACATGCACAGCGCATGGTAAGAGATATTTCGGTTATTACGGTGCGCTCTATAACTAATGCCCGTACGTATATCAACTCAGACACGGGGCATTGATACTGCCTCGAAATAACCACATGATGTGATATTAAAGTGCTGGCATACATATACACAATTTATGAAATTGAATCATACGAGTTTAACAAATGCCTTTCACAGTTAATTCACTACTCACATTAGTACATGAACACAGACACTGCCAGTAAGCCTAAGCAAAACATCGCATCCAATTAATGCAGTTTCCTAGAAAACGGCTTGATAATTACAAGCATTCGTACAATACCCATATTAAAAGAACAATGCACAATATTCCAATAAAATATCATCAACTCCTTTTTTTAAGGTTCTATGTGTTTGGAAAGCTGAATTCAAGTTGGACGTTTGTCATCTCGACAAATGTAGACTTCGCGAAGAAAATTGAAACAAGCTTAAACATTTTGTCCTCTTTCCAGTTTTTTCTTGTTTCGAAAACTGTGCGAAGTAGTAATCCAAAGATTATAATACACAAAATTAACGGACATTCAATTTCGTAATGTTTTAAAATGTGACGATTATTTTAGCTATTTCTTTTCACAATTGCTGATGGCGAATGTTTAATAACTTGCAATTCGAAGAGAAATACATCTAAACCTGTAATTATCGATAAGAACAGTGCAAAACAAAAAAGGTATAAAAATCAGCAAAAAGTTTGCTAAAAATGAAATTATTGCATGAAATTGCCAATGAAAAATATTAAATTTACACATTACTAAGAAAGACGGAAATTAATTCATCCGGCCACATTTCCTTTTTCCTTTTAAAAAGTCTCGAAATTAAATAGAAATAAATAAAATATATCAGCCATAAATAATGTATAAAACCGCGCTCATGTAGTACAAGGTAGTGGCATGATGCTTGAAGTATTTTGTGACGTAATAAATGAGAAATAAATTCAAATAACAAAATAAAAATACTATATTGAAAAGTTACAGACTAGTTACAATAAATTGCTAAATTTAAACACTCCGGCAACCTGTTCCTTCCTGTACCCTGCTTTACCGCGAGAAAAATAAAGCACGCGTCATGCGAGCTGTCGGACTTCCCGTCCCGTGGACAATTACCGTCACATGCCTGACGCCAAATTTAAAACCGGTCGTTGGGCTACCGTGTGCCTACCAGCACGCGAGATCGTCTGGCCCTTACACTCCGACATCTCGCCCACACTCCTACACTCCTTGTAAGCCTACACGGTACAACGCTCGACCGATGTAAACTGAATGAGAACGCGGCGCAGATGGCGCGCCGATTAAATAGTTGAGCGGCTACCTACCCCCCCCACTGTTCCCTAGATTAGCTCGCTTTGCTGTCGTAAGCGAGGGCTCGCTGGCTAGCATCCTAGATTTACAGCCTAAGGTTATTTTTGCTCTTGCAGCTACTTACCGTGAGTCAACCGCCAGGCGCAAAATCCCGGAAAGTTCAGCTTCAACCCCTCCTCCCCCGCAGCGCACTTTCACCGATCTAACGGTTCTGGCCCTCGTGTTAACGACGCCACAATTTCTATCAATTCCTGTACATTACGTACAATTTTTCAAACAGGGAACACGCCATCCGTTTTAGAAAGAGACATATAATTTTTCCTTGTTGTTTACTCTCGTACATTTCTTTTGATCCTGTTCTATCGTCAGCAAGATAAAAGTACGGTCCATTAACATCGATTTAGAAGCAATCGAATGTGCGTGGTTAATGCAGCGTATGAATGATGAAGTTGACTTCTGGCGCAGAGAGATTTTATCAAGCGCTTGTGTCATAAGGAAGAATGCGTAACGACATGAACTTTCGCTTCTAATATTGAACTCAAACATGGTAACGGGGTAAAATAGTACGATTGTGCGATTAAACGTAATGATGTGAGTTTTGGTCGCAAAACAATAATAATTGCTGAGAAAGTGGAATTATTGAGTGCTATTGAAGGGAATATTTGTGCCGGTCAAAAGAGGATCTTCTCGACAAACTTTCAGGCCGTCGTATGAAAGGAATAAATACAAATGAATTTAGAAAGAAGAGCTATCACTATTTGAAATTCAAACATGCAAGTCATTTTCTTCATCTATTTTGGATAGAAAAATGTGCACATTTTGATTTATGTTTTTTACTGCAGTAAAACAATAAAAACGAGAAATATTATTAGTAGAGACAATCACAAAGACAATCAGTTATCTTTCTCGGTGAATAGACCAGCTCACCGAGATCACTATATTCAGAATACTAGTTCCGGTTTTCCCATTATCGAGAATAATGGTACTGATGCTGGGCCTATTAAATGTGCGTCCGCCACATTGACCTGATTACTCGAGCGCATCTGCCGCTAATAATGAAAGCACATTCTTGGTTCGAAGAATTATCAAAAATTGTTCTTAGTATATAAGTTCTTTATATATCGTTACATGATCAAATTCATAGGTCTATCCTAACTAGTTCATGTTTTTCAGGTATAAATCTGTGTCAAAAGGCGTGATCCTCTTAAAATCTTAAACGCTTTGTTTATTCCACTTTCATTGTATAGGGTAATGAAAGTCGTATATTAACTGTTAATGCACAGTCCGGCCCTTAGACTTGACTTCTATTCCTCGACTCTGCCTTTGTAGCAGTGGAAGGGAGGAGGAAGAAGAAAATGAAGAAGAATAAGAAGAGGAAGAAAAGGAATCACGCACAATTATGGCGAGGGTTGGTCCGATAGCTGAAAGACGGCTCCGCCAGAGGAGTAAGATTGCCGACCTTACAGGACAGCATCCTCAGGACAGCAGATGGCAGCAGGGTCACTGCTTAAATCAACTCTTTTGTTGATCTAAATCTAAAAATGTTTAAGAGTTTGTTATTTATCGTTGAGAAAAGCATTATTATGTTATTATTTTTACATTTCAATAACATCGTAATGTACAATTACTACTTAATTTACAAACACTGATTCTTAGTTTTGATGCATTAGTTAGTTCAACATTCTTAAGTATTAGTTATTTCTTAGTTATTTCAACATTCCCTTAAATAAGTTATGAAGTCAAATTTATTATCTTTTAGAGAATATATTAATTGAAGAGCGGGCATTTGTAATGGTCAATTGAGAAAGACATTTTTTCAAGTTATTGGCATATAATCTAACTACCTGACAAATCAAGTTATTGGCATAGAAATAAAGTTATTGACATAAATCTTGTTATTGTCATACTGACACACTACCTTCAAAATCAAGTTTTTGACATACTACCAGTTATTTGATTGTCGTTTTCTGTTGTTTTTTTTTTCAACTTGATGAAATTTACTGCTACCTCTAATAAATGTTTCAAACTTTTAGGACTTTTGGGATCGAAGATTTGCTAATGTTGGAGAGGTACATATAGTCTCTTTGGGACTGAGTCAGAACGTACCAAACACCAGTACACAAAGAATTGCCCATACTGTGATGTGATGTAATATACAAAATCGCATGTGTCTATGTTATACTAGTCTTTCCAAGTTTTTATTGTCATAAAGTGATCATCTTCGTCTTGCTACATGACATAGAAGTTTGTCACATTTATTCTGAGAGACTCTGTGTGGAGAGCGTACCTCGTTAATATTTTCTTGAAAATGTACAGTTGGAGAACGAGCGTAAGTGTGCGTTTCTAGCAGTGCTGTCGTGTCGCGTGCGCAGCTTGGACGCGCGTGGGCGGTCGGTGACGACGCAGCTGGGCACGCACTGGGCAGACGAGCGCATCCTGGGCGGGCGCTCCTTCTTCCGCGTGGGCGACGCGGAGGAGCAGGAGGAGGAGGAGGACGGCGAGGACGGGGAGGTGCGCGGCACGCACCTGGCCATCGAGAGCGTGCGCGAGGCGGACGCCGGCTCCTACCGCTGCCGCGTCGACTTCCGCCGCTCGCCCACGCGCAACGCCATCGTCAACCTCACCGTCATCGGTGAGTACCCTCGATCACTCAAGGAATCATCTTTGCTCTCGAAGGAACTTTACAAACACTGGTGAATGCCTTTCTCATCGCCACTACTCTCCTTGACGCTCACTACATACGCTCTTCAAACCAAAGTATCATCGACAACCTCACCGTCATTGGTGAGTAGCTTCTTCTCCGGTTCTGACATTAAAGAGTATCTTCTTTACAACAGTCTCATCGAGAAAATCTCTCTCGTTGATAAGTAGCGTCTTCTTAGAACCTCTTTCCCATTAAAGAGAACACTGTATATCCTACACGGTCACCGTCAACCTCGCTGTCATTGATGAGTAGATTCTTTCCTTAAAATTTCTCCTTAAAGGGTATTATCTTTACCACTCACTTTCAACGTCAATGTCGTCGTCATTGAGGAGTACTTCCCCACGTTAATTTCTCCTTCACAACGAGTATCCTTATTCACCATTCAGTGTTATCATCGGTGTCTATTGTAGGCGATTACTTACATACAATCAATCATTAATTTCTCCTTCTCTGAAAGTAGTCTCTTCATTGCCCTTCACAGCTCTGTAATGTCATCGACTATTACCCGGTCGTTTCTGGTACTTTCCATCAATACTTTTTCTTTCGCCAGGATTATCTTCTTCACAAGATAGTGCAGAAAAACTTACGGCCTTGGTGATTAGTCTTAATGCAAATTCATCTTTCTAACACGGAGTATGCTCTTTTCCGTCAATGGGAATTTTGCCCATGTCACAACCATCGAAATCTGTCTTTCTTAAAACTTCATCATCGGATTCCTTTTCACTGCGAGCACCCTTCTCCCTCTCCATAGAATACCCTTAAACTTCTTTGCTACTCATCAGTAAGTAGTACAAGAGCCATCGTCAGTCACTTCCACAATACGTTTACGCTCCCCTCCTCGAAGTCAATATCATTGTCAATTACGTGGATCTTTAGTCAAGAACAATCGACCTCTCGTTTGGTGTACTCTATGCAATTTATTTTATCATCATTAATCTCACCGTCATCAATAAGTACCTCCTGCTCAAAGCCGTTGTCGTGCCACTCTCGTTGAAATTTTCTTTCATTATTCTTGAAATAATCTTTAAATTGACATTGGAATTTGCCTATCCCAAAACTCCAAGCTTAGTAAATTGCTTTCTTTTTAGGGGTTCATTCGCATGTCTCAGTATCTTTGCGTTTGAGTGACATTAAGTACATTCTCCATATATATTTTCCTGGCACAGACAGTAACATAATTAGTACCGTACTTTCGTTAATTATTGTCAATCACTTTGCCACCGGAAACTAAATCTCATTAGTGTTGATCGCTAATCTAAGGAATGACCATTGTTTTACGTACCCCTTGAATAATGAACAGCGCTCTAAACTGCGTATCCAATAAATGTTTTTGCTAAGTTTCGTATTTGGTAACTCCTTTCTCGATTCCTAGAATCTTTGTTTAATTCAATGGGGTACGGGTTTTCTTTAAGGAAGTAGCCTCAGACAATTCATAGGTCTAAAATTTTTAATGAAAACCGCATTCATAACATGAATATACCGACTTACCCGTATGGTCATTACGCAATGAGTATAATAATTAAATTATGCTCACTACGAAACACATTTTTCAAACCATCCCGAGTTTCTAATTTTTTTATTTAATATTTTCTTTTGTTCACGTTGTTGTTTATCAATCTTTTATTTGGTCATGCTCATTCGCCTCCATAAAGATCAAAACATTCAATTATTTTTCGTATATTAAAATCCCCATATTAGTAAAAATGGAACTTTTGTATATTTAAGAGGATTAAATGTTTTAAATTTAAGCCATGTTTTACTATATACATGTGCAATTTGTATTTACAATGTTCGATTCATTTGTTTTGCCACTCATCTTCTGTATATTTACTTCATTACAAAAAATTAATTTATCGTTAGAACATACGATATACGTCAAACGAACTTACGAGATGTATGACACAAATATTACATTCAGTTTAAATAGTGTTCTAAATGTAACATTAGCTTAAATAATATTCTCAGGTACCTATATGGAAACATCTATTAATATCAAGCATATCTGTAATTGTATTACTCCAAAAATGGTATTAAGTGTAGTGCAGAACAGTAAAGTTATTTTGAAAACGTTTGCCAAATTACTCATTTGTTATTTATCATGTAATACGTGGGAAAATGTTCTGCAATAAAAACATGAAACATTATTAACATATGCTGCTATAAAATCAAACAATTTCTTACCGTATTTTTGTAATGTTTCAAAAAATAATAACAAAATAATGTATGTAATAATGTTTTGCTACAATATATTAACGTATGAAATCATTACACCTATTAAAATTACACTTCACAAAAATCGAATATAATTATGAAATAAGCAGTAATTACACAAAAAATGTAATTACAACTACGGCCTTACCTAAATAATTCTCCTGACTTTGAGTAATCTAACCATTTTTCTAGGTGCAGTTCAAAAACGCAGTATGAAAACAAAGCGTGTGGGGAAATGAACACAAACCCAAGTGCGCAGTGCGAATGCAGCGCCCGCCATTACTCTTGCTTCCAACCGCTGAAA